TCGGCACTCTTTCGTGATTTGGCCGACGACAAAATAAAATAATCATATTACTGGGCACCAGCTAAAGCATATCAATGACTCCAAAAAGACCCATACGTAATCTCAGAATAATATAATCGACGTAAAGCAATGTGAATATTCTAATGTGTCAAATACAACAAATTTCTGCACACTAATTTGTCTTTGCAATTGCTCACAGAGATACAGTATCCACAACAGTTAAGAACTTTTTGAAAATATTCTGACAAAATAGTACATTTTAAAACACAGGAAATATTGCCTGCATTAAACTTTTTTTTTTTATTCTGGTCTCCTTGGGAAACATTACTGGTCTCAAGATAGAATATGAGGTTTATGATTTAAGCTTGATTTAGAAATATTTTTTTATTACTTCTTAAAATAATTTTTTATATAAAAATTAAAAATTATTTTACAAATAAATAAGAAAATCATCTCAAACGAAACTTTAGACTTTGCTTGGATAGCTTTTGGTTCATATTTTTTGTTATTTAAAAAAAATCTTTATGATAAAAAGTTGTACAAAATTAGGGGTGTCAATTTCGGGTCACGGGTCGGATTTGGGTCAAACCCGAAACTGACCCGGCACTATCAGGTTTTCGGGTCAAAAACGGGTTTATTTCTTCTTTTTCGGGTCAAAAACGGGAATCTCAGGTTGTCAGGTCAAAATCGGGTTTTTGGGTCAAAAATGGATCAATTTTAGGTCAAAGGGTTATCCCGAACCCGACCCGTTTCGGGTTGACCCTAACCCAAAATTTTCGGGTCGGGTTCGAGTCGGATTTTCGGGTGGTGTCAAATATTGACACCCCTATACAAAATAGTAAAATAACTATCACAAATGAAAGCTTAAGCTTACATTATAGATAATAATGAATTTGTTAATTAAATTAAAAAAAAAATAGTCTCACTATTTGATACTTGCAATTATTAAAAAGTTCATAATAGATCATTATCCAATACACTCGAAATCACATGGTAGAATGTTTCTAAAACTCATTTAGATTACATTTTATTTCATAACTTTTCATACAAATATCAAAATTGAAATAAAAAATAGGATATTAGGAGCTTACCTAGAGTAGAACAATTATCTTAATTGGCCTAATAAATGAATTTGACTCAATGGCCTCAAACTTCTTTCTCTTTTTTCTTCTCTGATAAGCTAATGGGGTGAGGGGTTATCAAGAATGGATTTAAATTTTAATATATAAAAAACTTATTGTAATGGTCAACATTACAGTGCTCCGCCTGAATATTCTAGATGAATCATATAACCTAAATAATATGCTTCATGCATAGTGTTCGTTCTCAAATTTCCACTAGCATGGATCCACAATCTACTGTCACAAAACATTGTACCTTGATCATCAACTTGCATCATATTTTTTTCTGAGCTTCAATAATTATTTCTTGTAATGAAGGTTGAACAATCATTTAAGAGAAAACTCCTACTTTCACTTCAGATCAACATACAACTTTCAATTCCAACTTTTCCAACTCACAGATCAAAGCTTGCTCAAAGATTATCATACAAGATGTTTTTCCTATAGACTTTCTGCTCAAAGCATCAGTAATCAAATTTGTCTTGTCAGGTTGATCTATGACATTTAGATCATAATCCTTGATCAATTATAATCATCTTCTCTCTATTAGGTTCAACTTCTTCTAAATAACGATATACTTCGAACTCTTGTGGTCAGATAGATCTTACACTTTATTCCATACATATAATTTCTCCATATATTCAAACCAAACATAATCACCGCCAACTCTAAATCATGAGAAGGATAGTTCTTCTCATGTGGCTTCAACTGCTAGGAAGCTTAAGTAATTACATTCTCATTTAGATGCAATAAAAAGCCCAAGCCTTTGAAAGAATCATCATTTTACACTTAGAAACCTTCAACGCTAGACATAATAGTCAGCACAGAGGCTAACACTAAACACTCCAACTTGAAAACTAGCTTCACATTTTGGGGTCCAGCCAAATAGCATGACCTTATGAGTCGGTCTAATCAAAGGGATTGCAATTTGTGAAAGCAACCCTAGACATGACTCTTGCATCTATTGTCTGGCAGGCGACAACACAAATTAAAACAACTCCTGAACATCTCGGTAAACTCTTCCAAAAAATTTTATGCATTTGGTTTACCCTGAATTTCTCATTCTATTGACCCTACCACCAGCGCCGAGCCTCTCTATCAAATAAAAATAATATTAATGACACCTTTTCCTTAGGACATTATATGCTATCAAATGACTTCTCTAACCTCATCAGCTAGCCTTCAGCCACATGAAGTTCCACTGGCCACCGTACTCCTGAACGTCTCGGTAAGCTCTTCCAAAAAATTTTATGCATTTGGTTTACGCTGAATTTCTCATTTTGTTGGCCCTACCACCAACGCTGAGCCTCTCTATCAAATAAAAATAATGTTAATGGCACCTTTTACTTAAGACATTGCATGCTATCAAATGACTTTTCTAACCTCATCAGCAAGTCTTCAGCCACCTGAAGTTCCACTGGCCACCGTACTCTAAGCCTCCACATCCCTCCCCCCCCACCCAAATAAGCTGAGATACTAAGTTAGCAAGTTGCATTATAGAGTTGGAATTCATTGCCCCCAACATAATAATTTGTATGTTTCCAGCTCTATTAGTACTCTGTCCATCATTTATCTTTGAGCCTAAGAGGGCCATTATCAACAATACTTTTTATCTAAAATGAAAACATAATGTTCAACACCACAATAATGTAACTCCTTAATTATACAAAAAATAATGCAAATCTATGTGATTTCTATCTTATTGAATTATATGTCTTTTCTTATGATTTTGGTTACAATTTAATTTTTTCAAACATTTGCTCTAATAACACTTCTATCATGCTCCAAAACCTAATGAAAGAATTAAAACTTGAACCTAACTATCTCATCCACAATATCGAATATACCATAATTAGCTAAATAATCCAAAATAATTAAATGATATAGAGAATCATCCCAATTTCATTTCAAAAAGAATTATGCACGATTAATCCCATACAAACTCATTTTATACATCAAAGCATAAAAACTAGACTAACAAAATACCTCATAGTTAAGCTAGCTTCTGACAATCCTGCCCTTATCAACCCCTACTCAGCTAGAATTTTCTCTTTTCTTGAAATTTCATAAAACATACATAGTGAGCATTCACATGCTCAATAGGCTTATCCAAGTCCTATTATAGAAATCAAGTCCCCATTTGCAATTATTAAACAAAAAAAGTTTCATACTATTCAGATGGAAGGTACCATTAATATAGAAATTAACTTTAACATTTATAAAACATAAATATTATGTTGACCTATATAAGAAATGTAATAACATGTATTTTGACCCAGCCAAATTGTTTTTTTTTTTTTTTTGAAAACTATATAACTACAAATTGGAAACCGTTTTTGCCATAGCATTGAGATTGTGGTATTTTAATCACACAATTTTTTCATAATTTTTAGGCACCAATAAAAATTATTAAGAAATTGGTATCTGTCCGTACAAGTGATGATTTTATGACCGTTAAATGTCCGTTTTACAAATCAATTTTATAAATATTTTTTAAATAATTTTTTTTTATTTTATGGATATTTTTTGGTAATTTTTTAAGTCCTAAAATAATTTATTTGAATTTTATAATGAAAGAATTTGATTAAATTTATAATATAATATTAAATTATCAATTCAATA